TCTTTCCCAACACCATATGGGAACACTCTGGGCGATATCTCACCTATAGGGTTATAATGACTGTCCTTCTGTATCAGCTGACCAGAGAAACAGAATTGGGATGTTCACAAAACTCAGAATAAGGTCGTTCAGTGCAGGGTTGGAATCTTTCAAAACCATGAAACTAAGGCAGTGAGTGCTTGTGGATGGAGAAACAGGTAGGGGATAGGAAACAAAGCTATTAAGGTGCTTCTTAGAGTAGGAAAAATTTTCCAGTTTTTACTGTAGAGATCAGGCAAAAGAAACTAACTTGAGACTTTAGTATAGGCATAATCAGTTTGTCTTCGGGCACAAAAGAATCCATGCCTAGTCTTTTCCATCTATTTGAAAATTATATATTAAACCAGGTCATTACAATGAAAGTCCATTTTACAGCAACTAAACAAAGGTGCGATAGATAACCAATGTGTTACCTCTCACTCACACACAAATGTAAATACTGTAAGTGCTCATTCACCTCACACAAAGGCCATGTTGTAAATTATGCTCCTTGGATTGCCATGTGTCTATACTTACTGTAACCCACCCCTTATGAAAATAGAATAAAATCAAATGTTACACAAAAATATGTCCCTCTGTGTGTGTGTGTGCGCGCACACATTGAGTGGGCACATTATTCAATTAGCTATTCTTGCAAGACTGGAAGACCAACAAAATCTGGAGATGCCTATACCACCCCTTCCAGACACTGAGCTTTTTTGGAAGGGAGGAATAAGGAGGGAGGTTCTACTTACACAGCTTTGACCAAATGTTATCTAAGTGTGTGCCTCGATTTCCAATAAAGAATACTTGTCCTGGTAACAGATATGTGGTAACACTTATTCCAAAAAATCCTGCCTCTTAGAATAGAATTTTCTTTAATAGGGCTACCATCCTATGCTAAAAAGCTCTGAATTTGTGTTGGTTACTATTTGGAGATGAATGAAAGCACCAGATGATGAAGTTTGCTAATGACACTAGATTATTTCAGTCAGTTAAAATTTTAAATTACTGAAAATTTTCCAGCTTGATTTTAAATGATTCTATGATCCTGTGATTCTAAATCACAGCGATGCTGACAAGCACAACACAAAGAACTCTAGTAGTATAAATATAAGAACACAGTTATCTTAAATACTTCTTAAGTATCTATCTTAAAGACCAGAACTTCTCCTAAAAATAAGCCATAGACTAATGAAGATATCTGTTCATTGTGGACTAGGAGACAAGAAGAGCCCTTAAGATTATTGGAAACCATGAAAAGGAGAAACAATAAACCCTTCAAGGTACAGTTCCCTCTTACCCCAAGGTAGCTCTGGATCAGGAGACTCTTGCTGGGGTTTGGAATCTTTTCCTCCCACATTTTCTTCTTCCTGCAACAACAACACAGAGTTTTCAAAATTTGCTTCTCAACATGGCTGCAAGCAGAAAAGGTTGCACCCCATACACCATGCTGCTCTGCCCAGCAAGGCACCACCAAGGCCCTGGCACACCCAACTCTCACCCTTGCTCAGACGTGCACAAGGCTGCCCATTGCACACCAAGGCTTATCTTTCATGGGGGACAAAGAAGCACCTCAGCCTTTATGCCACTCCCATTGCCAACATGCTGCTAAATCTCCTAGTAACAATGCAAGCTTACCTGAGGAAATACTTATAGCTGCAGTAGGCAACTATTAGCAAAATGATGATGACAGCTGGGAGCATCACTGGGAGAAGCATTGGTGGCAGAACTGAAAGAGAGAAAAGAAAAGCAGGTATCCACCTGCAGAGTGGTTGCTTCCTGTAACAAGTTTTTCACTCTAGTCACTTTTCATGCAAGCAGATCAGGGAAATGTAAGTGATGTGTTGGGGATAGGATCATGAGGCCTTCAAACTGTTGGGATACCCTCCAAAGTGGGACAGACCAGACGTAGCCTGAACACCTTGCTGACCCAAGGAGTTCACGGTTTCCTTCACTGATCCTTTTTTATTTTTTACTGACATCAGAGTAAACAATTTATGCTACTTAAAAAAATGGTTAGGTACCTTACTCCACCATGAAAAACAGGATATCTTCAGGCATCTTAGGTCTGCCTTACTCTGTACAGTTCTGAAGACATGGGTTTCAGAGGTTTTCTAAGAAAGTGATTCCTCTGCTAATAGCCATAACTGACCATCAACAACACACCAATTTCTTCCTGAGTACACTCATCAAAATTTGCCTACTCTCTTACCACTATAAGCTTCCTCAGCACAAATCATGTTATATCATATTACTTTGGAGACAAGACCATAAGACAGCAGACATTCAGCCTCTAAGTCCAGAAACAGCAAAAACATGTGAAGGTATTATCTCCACTAGACGCTACTGTGTGTTTTATGCAACCCTATAGTCGCTCTGTAAATATAAAAGACTGAGGGCTTATATTCTGTCTTCTTGCAATCTCAGGCTCTTCAGTCACTGATAACAGAGTGGACTATGGACTCAGGAAACAAGGATGATCTTTTAGGCAGGATCTTTGCTTCATTCTCCATGTGGAAAACTTTACGGTTGATTGTACTCACCTTGTGAAGGGGAGGAGGAAAGAAGCTTAAAAGGTCATTTTTTTTTTCTTCATTAGCATTGCAGCGGTACTGCAAGGATGCAGACAGGATAGCCACTTTGTTAAGTAACCCCAGCTAGCTCATGGCTGGCCCTAACTTCAACCCCAGCTGAGACAATGTGGTTTTCTATAGAGGCATTTCAGCCATTAACAGACCACAAAACCTTACAGAAGTAGCCTGCACAAATAAGTACCGTTCTCAGTCTTCCAGGTGAACTCCTCACTCCATTCACTCCAAGGCCCCTCATAATCCAGAGGCGTATTCACCCTTGCACGCATTTTCCCCCTATATTCTGTAGATGATGCCAGCATCTGCGGGGTGAAGATGAAGGGTGGTTCATCGTTGCTGATACTTAACTTCTGGAGCGTCTGGGGAGAAGAAAGAAGCACAAATTACAGAGGTCAGAGGAACTGTCTTTCCCATTTGCCCAGCAAAGAGAAACCCAGGACTCCTGCACTTCCTAAGACTTACCTTTTCATATTGGTTGTTTTTCCAGTACTCAACTTGGTATCTCTGTTTTATGAAGTTATACGCCAAAGTGTGTTTTATCCACCTCAGTTCATAATCTTGGCTCTCCGTCACTGTTACTGACACATTTGCAGGCGGCA